CAGTCAATTTGAATGACATCTGATTGTTGTTCTCCGCTCCGCTCCGCCTTGATGGAAACCGGGCCAAAATGTTGTGATAAATCTTCAAATAGAACTACACATGTACTCACAGCATCAGCAACTTCCTCCTGATCGTCAGGCTTGATGAGCGCGCGGGGCTTGAGCCAGTCGAGTCCTTCATCTTCCACGAGGTTCGCCTTCGATTTCGTTACCTCTTTCTGCTCAGGAAATAGAGATATTAAATATTTTTATCACATTCAGATGACGATTACGAATATTTTTGTGCACTTTGACGTAGACAATAAGACAAAAACTTACGCAAATGATAAACACATAGCGAAGGAGCGAAAATATGACAAGTACTTAACTAACTTATAAAAAAATATGCCTCATGTAATAAAAAAAATACGCTTTCATTACAAGAAAAAAAAATAATTTCAATGCGTCATATTTTGGCCCCCATTAAACAAAATGTGCCAACTGAAAAGCTGTGAAAACACATTGGAACAGTCTAAAATAAAGTGCTTTTTGTACGTGAGGTTTTGAAATATAGAATTAATAAACATGGACTTTAGTAACTAGAATTGAAGTTATTAAAATGAAGATAAAAAACCNATTTTCTCTGTTACCCGGCCTTAATAAATACGACGTTGTGCAAAAGGTTAAGTTACTTTATTTTAAAATGTTTTATGTGCATGTTTATGAACGCATTTATTTTATGGAAATATAGTCTGTGAATATGGAATTAATACCTCAGAGTTCGATACAGCGTTGGCTCAGTAGAATCGGCAGTGCCTATGATAAAAATGTAGCTGTATGTATATTTGTCTACCTTCAGGTTTCGCTTCCTCTGTAGGCGCAGCTGGCTCAGGCTCCGGTTCTTCTTCTTCTTCTTCCTCAGCCGCTGACTTCTTCACCTTAGCCTTCTTGGGACCAGCGTCGTCGAAGCTTACCATTCCTAGTGGAGTGACATTATTTACTTGTATAAAAGTAAACACGTAAAATACAACTATGAGTGTTTCATTGAGGAATTGGACAATCCAAATACCTAAGTGTGGTTTTGAACTTTGTACTAATAACAATCTATTGGAATGTGGATGGGCGTTACTTGTAAATGAAAAATGTGTGTGGAGGCATTGTACCTAATATGCCATAGTCGGGAAACTTGCGTCTTTATGTCGTCATACTTATTGTAAATGTCGTTCATTTGTGATTTTATGCTTTACAAATGCAAATAGCGAAAAAGTTATTATTATTCAGTGTATTGTGGTCAAATTAAGATACTTATCAGCTGTTTAAAACGGTTCATAGATAATATCTAAGACCAAGGTTGTGATTTCAGTTAAGTTGTAGTTTTATCGACTCAATTAGAAGAAGAAGATCAGAACAAATATGTTATGTTCCTATCTAATTCTACATTTTAGAACTGGTAGGTGCTGTTTGAGGTCATTATCCAAGAGTTAGCTCTCTATAGGGCTTTGTCGAACATAATTATTGCCACCATAATTTGAACCTTATTCACTTCGCTCTCTATAGGACTTTGTCAAACATATTTCCACCATAATTTGAACCTTATTCACTTAACATAGGTCGAAAGGCTATGATTTTAAAACATTCTGTGCCCTATAGAGGGCTAAGAAGTTCCATGTTTGGTGCACCACATACCATAACCAGCAGCAATTTGTGCCTTAGCTTCATCGGAGTCCTTCCGTATAGCAGTTCCTTGGAACACGTAGAGCGGGTAGGCTTTCCCATAGCTGGGCTTGGGCTTGAGCACGAACATGCCACGCCCGTAGTGGTAGGCCACCTCGTCGGCCACCCATTGCGGGTTGATGGTGGTCAGCACACGTCCCACTTCCTCTTCTAGGTCCTATAAAGTAGTTAGTTCTATATCAGTTTTTGTAAGTAAGTATAATGTTGATTAGATTACGTACTAGCATCAAATAAGTTTTTCTTTTTCTACTAACAAATCTATGGATCATGAGTGTTGTCTGAAATAAACGGATTTTTAATTTATTTTTAATTTATTATAAAAGCTTCTGCTCTACATCGTATTTATTTAATTTACATGCAAATGCAAATTGTACCCTCATAAATATAAAGTTATACAGTTATGTAGCGTAGTTACACTTTGTTACGTCGGCATTGAAGTCACGAATAAACAAAGTTCTAGACAATAAAATATCAAGTAGCAACTTCATTTTAAGCATTTAGCTCATTTTGTTTTATTTATTTCTTTGCAGCTGCCCTTAAGGTCTCTCCTTCGGCTTCTGTCGCTAAATAAATGCGTGAACACAAAGTAATATCAAATATCTATGTGTTCTATCACAAAATATGATTATTTCATCCATTAGAGCACACGCATTAGCTGTCATTATTCTATCGTTCGTTTCAGCCAAATGACGTCCACTGCTGGACAAAGGCCTCCCCCAAGGTTTTCCACAATAAACGGTCGTCCTGCGCTGCCCGCATCCAGGCTCTTCCCGCGACCTTTATCGTCGGTCCACGTAGTAGGAGTTTTATCTATCGTAAAAGATGTTTAATGTTTTGATTTAATCTTCAAATAGAACTACACATATTATGTACTCACAGCATCAGCAACTTCCTCCTGATCGTCAGGCTTGATGAGCGCGCGGGGCTTGAGCCAGTCGAGTCCTTCATCTTCAACGAGGTTCGCCTTCGATTTCGTTACCTCTTTCTGCTCAGGAAATAGAGATATTAAATATTTTTATCACATTCAGATGACGATTACGAATATTTTTGTGCACTTTGACGTAGACAATAAGACAAAAAGTTACGCAAATGATAAACACATAGCGAAGGAGCGAAAATATGACAAGTACTTAAGTAACTTATAAAAAAATATGCCTCATGTAATAAAAAAAAATACTCTTTCATTACAAGAAAAAAAAAGTAATTTCAATGCGTCATATTTTGGCCCCCATTAAACAAAATGTGCCAACTGAAAAGCTGTGAAAACACATTGGAACAGTCTAAAATAAAGTGCTTTTTGTAGGTACGTGAGTTTTTGAAATATAGAATTTATAAACATGGACTTTAGTAACTAGAACAAAAGTTATTAAAATGAAGATAAAAACATGTCCAACGTGACGTAATTTACGTACCTCTTAAATTACACATTACAAAAGTATTGTTTTTGAATTTATAATCAGATTTTCTTATAAATAACTTCAAATTACCTTTGTTTACCATTTGACGTCAGTACCAACATGTGTAAGTACATAACAAACGTAAATGGTAAACATTTTATTGCTATTTTATCAAAACGTGATTAAGTTTTATTTTGTAATTTAGGTTTTAACGAATTTCAGATTACATACATCAATACACATTATCGTTTTCTTCAGAAGCACTTTTGGATCGTCCTGGTTTAGGGCGCGTTTTATCATAGCCTTCAGCATTTTTACGAAGTAAAGTCCGTCTAGTTTTATGAAACAAAATTCCAGTACGCAGGCACGAAAGCTTCCGTCGGGGGCGGGTTCAGAACTGTTCAGTTTTCTATCATTTTGTGTACGAAGATTTACGAGTAAATATTTCGTTACATTTGCATACTGTTAAGTCTTTATTGGTCACGATCATGTAACTCGACTGTAAATATAATTCGAGGCACTTTTAGTTAAGCGTAAACAAATGATTAGAGAATATTGCGTGCTGAACATTCTGGATGCTATCTTTATACCTTTTGATTATTTCTGTCAAACCTTGGATTGTATTGTCGGTAAAAGTATCCTACTCACGTCAGAGTCTTCGTCGGAATAAAAATCGTCTACGCTCTCTTGAGACGTGCTTATGTTTTCTTCCTTTTCTTCGATATTTTCAAGAGCTTCCATTTTGGACATTTTGTGAGAGATAACAGTTTTTGCGGGTATTGTGAAGCTTCCATGAAGGGGAACGACAAAATGCGCTAGTATGACTATCAGCTGGCGTAATGCTACACAGTTCTAATCAAGTTATTATCTGCATTGCATGGTAGGAATAGTTGCTAATGTTCTAAGTAACGACCGGCAGAACAGTTGTTTGCGTGTGAAACTATTTTTAATAACACTTTGTAGAATTATTACAACGGTTTTGCATTAATTGTTATTATTTAAATATCCTTTACCTATTTATTTACTACTGTTTTTCGGCAAAAATAGTAGGCCAAAACAATAGCATAACTATTACAGACGTTGGTTACTTATCTTTATAACACCAGTGAATGGCAATTTATAATTGTTTTAATTAGTTTTGATAAGGTTGCAAAGATGGTCACGGCAACGCGAAAACTGTTCAGCAATTTAGACTTTATAGTTATCAATCAAAATTATAATTCGAAATTAGCAATTCCTTATTTTGCTGACAGTGCAAAGTTAGAAAATTATGGCACCGCGGGGCGTGTCGCCAAATTCTAATTAGTCCCCGGCCGTGGCTGGCGTGAGCTAGTACGGAACCCGGCGACACGCCCGCGCCCGCGTCCCTTGCAGTTGTTAAGGAACCCTAAACGGGACCACAAGCCTTGCGAAAGTTGTGTGGTCACTGTAAGACCGAGTTTGGACCGTGATATGACTTCATACGTCTTTTCATGAGTGACCAAGATCTACCACGCCATGTTTCTACTACCATACGATTTGAAGCAAAGGTAAGTAAAAAAGATGCCATTTTCTTAACTGCAAACATGTCCGTTAAAGTTTTAATAATTAATTTTGTTTCATTATGTAAAAATATTAAGATTTAAGCTAGATGGAAGATGGTTACTCCAGTTGCAAACTCAAGTACCGCTCTACATTTTTTGCTTTCTTATGTTCCATTGTCTCTGGAGCTTGGATCTTTGGAGTTACTGTTTTATTCTTTTAGATATTTTTTTCCTTTGAATGGTCTTAGCTCCTTGCTTTCAAAACAATATTCGTTCGTAGCACTTCAGTCATTCAATCTTCACAATTAACGTTATATCTTAAGTTCAAATTCCGCAGTTCTAAGATCAGTACAGTCGATCTTTTCGTTGGCGCTTGTCGTTTCCGAAGCGCGTTAAAACAATAATATATTTATTGTCTAAATATTAAATATGCATATAATATACCCACAGTACTTTGATACAGTCAGTGGCATATAATCTTCGATGTTCGTCAGAGCTCGCGATACTGTGACCTAACATGCGACGTTCTAAATATGGAGTCGCAAGAGTTAAGTGCGGTAAGCTAATTTGTATGCTTTTCGTTATTTTTGGCAACCCAACGATTCTAGATTGTTCGAGGATTCGAGATTTCCTTCATAAAAGTTGTGACGCAATTTACTGACGATATGAAAAACAGTTTTGGTGATTTGCATTTGGAGTTAGAAGTTATGGTTCGACGATAAAAATTGCGGTGAGTAAGTAACATAATTCTTGAATGTTAGTTAGTGCAAAATAAATGCGCTATTTTATTATATTGACTAGATTAGTTTGATTACATAATACAAGTATTATTTTAAGTTTTATAGACAATTTTTCATTTTTGCACGTGCTAGATTAAGAATAAATCATTTGCGACTAAAATGTATACTGCTTAATCTTGCGAAAAAGTTTAACTAATATGACTTTTATGATTTGATGCCAAAGATTGGTTTTAAAAGGGCTTAGAAACCGATTTGCCTATCAATCCCCCCTAAACTTTAGTTGTGTCAGAGTAGTCATGGGTCACTCTGACACTGCTTTTCAAGAGGTGCCACTAGGCTAGGGGACTGTGGTTACAATTATATCATGTATGACATTTCATCTTCAAATCATAAAACTGATCTTTGTGTATATTAAGATAAGTTATTAATCGGATTCCAAGCCCTATCCCACAATACCGGGTAGTATTTTCTACGTAGAGGCAGCGGTCGCACGAAGGTTGGAATCAGCCACCAAGGCTTCCTTTTCTTCTTCTTTACAATCTAACAAGCATTTTATACAGTTCATAACGAAAATTAAGATCAGTACAAACAATAAAATTTAATATTCACTTATCTGTACTGTATTCTGTACTTTGTATTTGGCTATTTGTCTTGTTATGATCCACATGAGATGATGAAAAACGTATTGGAAGATTGTCTCCATTTTCATCTGTTTTCTTGTGAAAATGTTTTAGATTATTATGGCGTGGTCGTTGAAACAAAACTTTAAATTGAACAAGAAAATGTAGAGGTTAGTATAATTTGTTTGTTTGTCATGTCGTATCACTTTCGTTTCTTCTGTCAATAAACATGCCTTGTAGCGGGACTTTGTTCGTTCGATGCATACAGCTTCGTTATAAAAGCCTTGATTGCCATTGCGTTATTGATAACAGTTATCGGAAATGAGAATTTCATTTCCGTTTTATGCTGTGTATTTAGTTATGACGTCGTAATCGTGACGTCGGTTTTCCTGTTGTTGCTTGTATTCAAGTAGTTGTATTGAGTTTGTTTGGAAGAATGGTCCGTTGTGAGGTGGTTCACCTGCCGTATCATAAAGGTTCGTTCTTAAATTATGTAATTAAAGTGTTAAACGTACACACACATTACAATTGACTACGCACACTATCGTTTGTTTCATGAAACGACATAAAATTAATGTAGATTCACACACCACACTCAAGAATTGATTAGAGTCTGTAAGTACGAGTAATTGGTATGGAAAAGAAACTTATTGCAGACTTGTATCTAGTTTTGAGTTCGTATCATAATAAGGGCCTACATTCGACTCCACTGTCTATGCTATAAGAAAAAAGCCTTGAAAATATTGCTGAAAAGGCCATATCACATAAATAAATCTAAGTAGGTATTGTTTTTACTAGAAATGTAGGCACGAAGTCAAATGTGAAATGAAAATGTTTCGTATAAAAGGTTTTAACACGAATTATTTGAATAATATGGCAATTTATGAAGCGCGTTTTCCATACGAAAATAATATAATGTTTTAGGCTGGATTGGCGTGTTTATGGAATCAACGTCTTAAAATCGAAAATAGATAAGGCAAGATGTCGTAGCGATAAGTTTTACATAAGGTCACAGCGTGCATTGACGTACACATTTTATAAGTATTTAATAATGAGAAGTCTGTGATACACACACATTTATGTACAAAAACGACGAGATTGTAATAAACGGTAAATATGCGACGTAACAAGCGTAAATCATTCTGTCTTTTACTTACACTACTATGATTCGTCAAAATCTGACGAAAATGCTGGAATCAATGTTTGTGATATAGAAAACTAGACGCAAATGTTTGTGCCAATAGCCGAACATTGGACGCAGGACGGACACACAGCGAATGTCAGACAAGGACAGACAACACAAGTGATATTTACATAGAGCAAACATGCCCAGTCCTAGGGACTGTACTCACTCTGAGCCTCTTTAGAAGCGATCCTAGGCTTTTCTCCGACTTTTTTCGCCAGAGCTCTGGCAGTTTTACCGGCTTGCTCAACCCTGGCAGGTTGGGCATCTAGATCAGGTAGCAAATGTTTAGTCTCTGGTTTTGTTTGTGTCAATTCTTAAATTGTTTACCTTTTTATAAACATTTCATTGTGATTTCATACTTTATTGTTTTCATGATGTTAAACCTAATGTACGGGACAAGTAGAGTCATGTACTGTATGAACAAAGGTTGAAAATTTCGACAAAAGTTTCAATAATTTACTTTTCGATAAGAATAGAAGAACCAAATATATATTTTATGAAGTATTTTTGAATAAATAGATCAAAATACATAATGCTTGTTTGTAAAAGTAGTGCGATCGGTATAATATTGTGCTACTTGTGTTTTGTCTAGTATGTACATTGTGGGTAAAGTGAAGGTATTCTATGTACCTGCTAGAATACATACGAGTATACAATGCACCTTTGAAGTCATATAAAAGGTTGAGAGAAGTATTTCACAAAAATGAAATGGTTAGTATCAGAAATGTAGAGTGTTTATGAAAATACTTACGTTATGTACGCTATAATGTTCACCTTATGTAAAATAAATCTTAAATACATAGGTGGATAGTGATAAATAGATCATAAAAGTCTTAAACTATCAGTGTATTTAGTGAAGTATTATGTAACTGTAAGATAGGTACAAAGGTAGTTTCGGGTTTAAACAAAGCAAACCATCTTGATGTAACTATATGGATTGGCAACATTTGTCAAGGGTACCAGTAACTTTATGTATATTAGTCAAACCTTATTAACATACCTTATCTTTGACTATGAAATTAAAATGATGGTAACAGAGATATAGATAGGTACAATGGAATTTTCGTGCTCAGTGTACCTAGCTTTTGTGTATGTATCCTTAATAAGCTAACTCGAGTATTGTAACCAAATGGAATAAGTAACGTTTCAGGATAACATGAGTTTTTTCAGGAAGTTGATGTTACTTTCATTGTAACTGCACGTATTTGACTAACTTCAAAAACAGACCCAAAATTGGACACGTCAGCAACAAAAAAGTTGAAGTAGTACTTCATCATCATCATCATCATTTCAGCCATAGGAAGTCCATCGCTGACCATGCCTCCCCCAATGATTTCGACAGTGGCCGGTTGGTGGCGGCCTGCATCTAGCGCCTTCTTGCTACATTTATGAGGGAAAGTTGTGCTTATAACTAATATTTTTTCAATTTATTCTGAAAGTTTTGAGACTTGAATACACCTGGGATATAAAAACTCGGGATCCTGGGATCAAAGCTCCAAGTATGACAAAATGACCTGTTACATTTGAGATTACATTACGTAACAATCAATATTAGTTACATATTACTGAAGAGTGCCTAGCAAGTTGGTTGTTTGATCAATATGATGAAAAATGTTATAAGACAATAAAATTATGTGTAGGTATTTTTATATATTAAGTATGTTTTGGTATTATATCATATAAATACAAAGTTATGAACGTATTGTGGGGTGTTGTATGTAATATTTTTGTGTAAAATAGTTTCATGTCTTGTATGAGGATCTCTATCAATTAATTTCTGACTATTTATGAGTGTGTACTTCGCCTAATGTAGTTTTTATTTAAATGTACGCAACTCACCTTTTTTGGAGCCATTACTGCATGTAAATTACTTCAACCACATTACCTTTCGTAAAAAATAATATATCCCTAAAAATCAAAACTCGTCCCAAGAAAAGTTTGACAGTTTCGTAAATAAATTTGACAGGTTCTAGCGACCCGTAGCAGTGCGCGCGCAGGGCGGCGTTTCCATGGCAACGGGGGCGGGCCGCCCTCCTCCAGACTTGCAAGGAGTGAATTCGTCACTGTGTTTTGTTACCTGCTGGTTGCATTCGGTGTTTTTACTAGATTTTGTGCCAAGAAATCTTGTTTTAAGATATTCAGAGTGGAATTCCTGCTGATTTAAGGTAAGTTCTTGGTCATTTGAGGTAGATTTTCGGCGTTTGATCCGTTTTTTGTAAGAATCGATGTAGGCATTGCAAGGTCATATTCCCCGGGCAGGACGATTGCAGCTTTATCGGCTGTTAATACGAGATGAATCATTACATTGTGCGTTGCGTCATAGCAAGGATCGATAAAATAGTGTAACCGATTGGCTGGGTAGTCAGCTTCCGATTCCTCCCAGGTGAGTCGACGGAAAAATTACGCGTAGATACGGAAAATTGCATTTTGTTTTCTAAGAATGCACTTTTCAGTACACTATTACTGCTTTTCATTGGATGTTTTGATAACTGATGTTTGGTGACACATAATTTGAACACCAAATTAGCCATTAGGGACCTAATAAATCGATTGTTATTGTCTTTGTTCTCTACGTTTGTATTGTTAATCTTACGGTACAATCATGTTTTCTAACCAGATTTCAAGATGACTTACACTTCTCTAAATATAAATTACGCTTTTAACGTGATATTTTTCTTATCACGACTTGTTTCCTATCCTAGATATTGAAAATGTGTTAATATTACTTAATTCTGAAACGATTTGTTCTGTTCTCCAGGGGACATCTCCAGCTGAGAAGTCCAAGATGGCTCTGGCAGGCAATTTCGACGGAATGCTTCTTCCGCTGTACCCAGAACCGGATGACAGCGGCATCGACAGCGACAACGCTGAGTCACAGCAGCAGGCAGCTTCGGTACAGCGCTTTGAAGAGAGGTTCATCGCTAATGTACGACTATGATCTTGATTCTCAGAAATTCCTGAAGCTTGCACAGCGAGTTTTTGCTCATATCTAGTTTGTTTTGTAACTATTATAGTGTAAGCTAAGCTTCGCTAGGTGTTCATCAAAATAGAGCGACGAGTGAGGCTAGAAAAATAAAGTGATTATATTGAGACATCTTAATCGGGTGTCGGCGCCTCTGTTCACACTTTTTATTCGGCTGTCGGCCCGTTCGACGCTGGTTGGTGTTCACTGTACACTATTTTTCCGGGCAATGAGGGCTGACAAAATACCTAACATTTCTTGCCTTTGTATGAAATGCTGGAAACATTCGATTAAAATCCGAGTCCAACCCCGACAATTTGCGTTACTTACATCAGCAGTCCAAACGATACAGGCGTACTATCCGTTCGCTTTAAGTTTGCCGCTGGCGATATGACATCACTCGGAGGGAAGCGTCTATAACTTTACAAAACTATATTTAACATATTTTTTATTTATTATTATTGATAAAAATTGTGTGTTTGCGTAAAATAAGACAAATTAATTGCGATTAATCACTAACCAATTGAGTTTAATCGCGGTTAGGGGAGGGGACGCGCATCCCACGGACCGGCAAACTTAGCGCGAACGGGTAGTAGAATGCTAACTCCATCTGGCTTCTTTTGTTTTCCTAATTAAGCAGTTAGCTTTTTATTTACTCTATGTCTTTACTTTTACAGCTAGATCTTGCTGCGCTTCCCCGTGACGGCAAGGGCTGGTGCCAGCGATACAAAGAACAGAGGAACAACACTGGGCACGGTCTCGCTGTATGTATTGACACATTTTTTATGTATTCATGATTGACTTACTCTGAAATACAATCATGTTACTAATTTGTTAACAGAGCTTACAGAGCGAACTTGGTGAGATGTCTTTCTCTTTTAAGATTATTTGCGAATGCCTATTATAATAAGTAGGCTTTTTGCTCGCGGCATTTTTCTCTCATTGAACTTTGTACTTCCCCGTCATCTCCGTGGCTAGGGGGTAGATTTTGGAAAGAAATTTTGATAGATCAGTCAGTGAATAAATTTGTCTTTTATAGTACAGAAAGTCTTTTCCTATTAATTTCGAGTACAATGAGTTCGAAAAAAAAGTCTTTTCTTCATAAGTCACGTTTAGCCGATTGAAATATCAAGCCTTACAACTTACGTCCGTCTCAAAACGTTTTATTTCAAAGAACCCTTGAACAAATTACAGTAGGTACTCATATTACCGGTCTTTGCTGATTGCAGAAAGGCATCGAGGACGGTCATCTCGACCCTTTCGACGTGGACTGGCCAATAGGTCTCCGCATGCCTCCTACGGTCCGGCAGCCGACTTTCGCCGAGCCTCGGCGCAGCGCTTCACCTCCTATCCTGGAAGTGGAACTCACTGCTTCTGAAGAAGATGAAGAAGACGATGTGCTGGAGCTGGTCATCCCGATGCACCAACCGCGCTATCAGAGGGTGCCGACCGACTCGCCGACTAGAGCCAAGCCGACAACTAAGGCAAAGATATACAGATTCTTCTTGAGCTTGCTGTGCTGCTTCCGCAAGTAAATTGTTGGGTGAAAGGCTTGATTTACGTGGATCTATTCCATGGTTCTCATAGAAAACACTCTCAAACAAGTACGTTCTTGCCACTTTCTTCTGCTTCAACCACACCAACGCGTGCAGATCGCCATCGCCGGCGCGATCACGGCTCGATCAAAGGCCAATGACAGGTCGCATGAACTGTCATAGGTCGCGCGACCTGTCATTGGCCCGTGAGCGATGGCGATCTGCACGCGTTGGTATGGTTGAAGTTTACTACGGATTAACTAATTGTTCATGTTTCCTAATTACTGGCGAAATCCTTCTAGCAATATCCGTCTAGGGAAAGAATCTTTGCAATCTTAATACGATATTCCATGTACTTCTTCTTTCTTGACTTGAATGTCCCGACTTTGATTCTGCTTACAAAGTTATTTTTAGTAAATAGTCAAAAGCTTCTCATACATTTTAACCATAATCGATTCACGTAAAATAGGCCATATTGTTGTACGACTAGTAACGGTCAATCAGGTAAAGTTAGTTGAATCAAATGTTTACCAAGACTTCTATGCACTACTAGACAGGCTGTGCTGAATTGAAATAAGTAATAAGTATCCAGTTCAACATGACCGAACGAAACTAGCAGATTTGCCGTGAGTCCTCACGATCGTAACTAACTCATATAATTTCATGAGAACGATGTTAGTTTTTTCTTAATGCATTTATCCTGCAAATGTTCTTTCATCGTCCGGTCATTTAGTCTCTCCCCACTACAGAAGCTCGACCTTCTCCTATTTATCAGGATTTGGCCTGTAACCTACTCCGCCGAACAGTCACAGATTGCAAAACGTGAGCATATTCCCACATCATCACATGTAGAACCCATTGGGTACCCCACCATATTATGTTTCAAGAAAACACATTATAAATATTATACCGGCCTACGCTGTGTCATGATTTTTATTTCTCAACAGCTTGTCTATTAACTTAGAAGTCTTTGAGTGTTTATTGTTCAGTTTTCAGTGTTAGGATCCATGATGTTGCCAGTAGCGCTATCAGTAGGGTCGTTATATGCATTTTACATAGGGACTGTGTTTGCTTTTGACAAGTTAATTTTAATTGAATCTCTTTTAATTTTAACAACAGCTGGTCAAGGAACGAGAAAGGAGAAAATTAGTAAACCATCCTTGTGTATTGTTATTCACCATGTAGGTAATGCGTGCAAGATGTATGAAAATAAGATGATTAAGTATAGATTTAAAGTCAGTGGAAAAACACACAATCTACTCAATATTCTTAATCGTTTAATTTTCTCTAGGCGACTTTTTATACATGATAGCAATTTTATACGTGGAGCTAGCAAAGTTGAAAAACATTTTGTTGGTTTCTAGATAAAAGTCGAAAATAAATATTGTAATATTGAGTAGATCATAGTTTTGTGGTGTGCCTAAAATTATGTCCTATCTAGATATCTTTTGTAATTGTTGGGCAATTTATAACACTATTTATTTTTATATTTTATCTAGGATACGCGATGAAACTTTTTGTAGATGTATATTATTTATTTTAATGAATTCAAAGAAGGACGTCCAATCCTCTATTATGTTACTTTCGTTTTGCAGTCCCGTATACTTAACAATAAATGTTTAAAATATATAGGTATACAATATAATAATGGTTTTTATCTTAAATATCAGTCCTCCGAAGTCAATTTCCTATACATTTCACCAAGTTTATGATTTAAACTGTACTTGGTCAATTCATAATTTCACAAAGAATTATCACAAACATTTCTAGACAAGTACTTGATAATTTGTATACGTAGATAGTGACATTAAATAAACCATATCAATAATGGTTCTATAAGATTTCTAGGGGTTCCGCTTGTTAAGGGAAAAACAGGGAAAATACAATGTACGCTATAAGTGTCTTTGTAAAATACGAAATTAATAAAATCCAAAATTGGTCCACTTTAGCGCATGTAACAAGCATTTTATAAAACTTAGTTACGCTTTTGTCGAATTGTTATGGTCACTAACCTAATAAATATTATTTACGGGATTCTACGAAAAAATTAAGGTACATGGTAGCAATCCCGTAAATGATAATTATTATGTTATGGTCACATAAACGAGTGGGCAACTATAATATTCAATTGGTTTTAAACTAATATCATGGCATTTATTTATGCCTATTTAAGATTTAATTTTGTATATTGATAAAGGCTCTACTCTGACTAAAAAAAACATATTGGTAACTAATTATGTGTTAAAAATATTTGTATTTTGATATTTTAGCGTGTGAAAGACTGAATGGTGAAAAATTGACTTTTTTAAATCTTCTTACCAAAAAATTATATTTTTATTAAATCTTTGTATAATTTATAATACTTACTTTACAATCAAATAAAGAAGAACGGTCACGCCCCATACAAAAAAAAACCCAGACCCGACAGAAACGAGACATACCTCAGTTTTTTTGTCATGTCTTAATTAGTTAAATTATATATTTTTTATATTCGAAATCTATGTATAACACCAAAATATTACCCTTTGTTTTTGTTTAGGCGTTATACAAAAACTAATACAAAATGCTCATTTATCACCAAAATTGGTAAATGTATGTACCTAAATGTCTATTACAGCTGCTATGGAATGTATCTAGACGACCTGGATATACAACCGGATTATACAGGGTGGTTATACATATGGAACGATAAGTGATCTCACTCGATTATTTCTAAACTATACAAGATATCGAAAAACTAGTTACTGATTCTGAAAGTGCTTCACGAGCTCTTTCAAATGGTACCTTTAATAGGGTACAGATTATGGAAGCTGATAACATTGAATTTTTGGATTTTGTAACTTATTATTCTTTCCACCCTGTATAATCCGGCTGTATCTCCAGGTCACCTAGATACATTCCATAGCAGCTGTAATAGACATTTAGGTACATACATTTACCAATTTTGGTGATAAATAGGCATTTTGTATTAGTTTTTGTATAACGCCTAAACAAAAACAAAGGATAATATTTTGGTGTTATACATAGATTTCGAATATAAAAAATATATAATTTAACTAATTCAGACATGACAAAAAAACTGAGGTATGTCTCGTTTCTGTCGGCCCTGGGTCACAGATGACCGTTCTTCTTTCCTACGAGATTGTTTTGTCATTTTGTATTGTTACTTTTTGATAAAACAATCTTTATATTCCCATGGGGGAATTAAATGTACTTAACATTAATACATTTTTGTACACATCTTAGAATTGCCAAATACCTTCATTTAACCATCAAAGGCATGCATAATATAATTTAATTAAAATTTTTAAATTAGTGCCAATTAAGTATGATAAACATTAAAAAATATTTATTGAACTAAACAATTGTTTAGAGTCTAGAATGTTTGTGGTACAAACTACCTTCCTGAGGTATCCTTAAATATGAAATGATACGTTACTTTTTATAAATGTTAATTTTTTTTTAATTTTTTTTTTAATTTTAAGTACCTATACCTTCTTTTCTAAGCATAAATGTTTTTATGGATAGTATAACTATCTGTGTATTGTATGTCTAATAAATAAAATATTCAAGATGTACTGTTTTTATTTTTCCTGAATTGAAATACCTATTTGTTTTTTTATGAGTAGGTACTGAGAAAACTTATACTTGATTTTCATTTACTGTTCCTTCCACATAACTATTTATTTATTAAAGTAAATAATAAAAAATGCTGAAACGACTACCATACCGACATAGACGACTACCATATGTATATTACCTCTATTCTGTTATTTACTATTAACAAATAAATATTATAATATTATTTGGCTTTTTGCCACTCGTTTGATTACATACGAATACATTACGAATAAATATTAAGAACGGATTCAGTCCAATATGCAGAGTTAGAGTCGCGGGCTTTAAGCCTTCAATAAAAAAACATACCAACCGATATTAGAACCTCCTTCTTTTTGAAGTCGGTTAAAATTATCGTGTTGTTTCATGTTTACTATTTTAACTACCCGTCACTAGATGGCTTAGCAAAAATATTTCATGGTTTCTTGTAGCGTACAAAGTTTCAGGTGAAAATTTTAGTCTTGCTACTCACCACTAGATGGCGTTAAATACTTAAAACTGAAATTAATTTAAGTATGAAGTGTAGAATATTGTAGATCTATAGTTATTCATTTGTTTTTACTATATTATATTATTATCATAGGCTATTATGCCTTGACAGTACACATTTTCAAGTTCTCGCTTCCTTCGCTAGATAAAATTTCAAGGAAATTTACAGGCACCGAATTGTAAGTTGAATGGATAACCTTGCAGATAAATATTTCCATTATTTTGTTTAAATAATATTTGTTGGAGGTCTTCTTTAACGTGTATGTTGTCCATGAGGTACTTAATATTTGACCAGCTGTGATTGCTCTGGAATCATAATTTGCGCACGATTTTTCTTAAATTGAAGTTATGCTTACGTACACGCATAGTATGTTTTAAAGAAGTTTTTATGTTAGCTCCTCCCAAATAAATTAAGCTTATAAATACTGTGTTCACAATAGTCCAGCAGTCAACGGGGACAGAATTAGAGACCTTGGAATCGGTAGTCCGATAATAACTCTAGCTTTTATCGCGTTGTTTTAGACAGTTTATTAACTAGACTCATAAAGCTTTTTATTGCTACAATAATGAAAATACAGTTACAAAATATTTGGAATTTTACAGAAAAATATCCATCCATGAAGGAGTACGAGTAAGTGCATCTACGCGTAAAATTAAATGACATGTCTCACCTCTGTTTGGGAAAATAAATAAAACTAGCAAGTGAAAAATTGACTAAGTACCTATTTGATAGCAATTAAGAAATATATAATGATGATGTAGAAGTTATTGCTAGTGATTTAGAGCAAATAAAAGTTTAAAGGGGTTTAATTAAGAATCACATCACCCGAATGCTCAATATAATTTAAGCAACAATAGCGTCGACATCATTCGCGACGTAGAGTCTGTCTTTGGATACAATTGGTACACAATGGCTGACACCTATCGCAAACTAG